AATGGGGGCATGCTTCAAGTTTTAAAACAGGCTTTCTTTTTCCCTTTGAAACACTTCAACTGACTTGGTTGCTAATACACCCGAACCTATACCAAAAAATCTTACTAGCAAGGCTCATACTAGCAAAACTCTTTCCTTTTCATTATTTTGATTAGTTGTTAGGCTCATACTAGTAAATATTTTGAAGTTCATCGAATGCATGAGTGAGAGTTGTCCTGACGCCGTCGAGTGGCCGTAACGGCACTGCTGGGCAGGGTCATGTTCACGGGTATTCGTAAATTTCTGGTGGCAGGACAGAGTTTGTTTGACATAGTTGGAGAGGGTGATGGCGTGAGAGTTTATGAAAATGGGAGGGGTGCCCGAAAGTCAATCCTATTTCAGAAGGGGATGCTGAATGGCTCATGAAATGCTTCAAGGAATTTTGGTGGGAGAAATCAGAGGGAGGCTGGGGTAGATGTAGGCGAAGCCGGAACAATATCCTTTGGATGGCTCTAAGCTGGATTAGGGGAGAGAAGTTTGTGGTTCTATCCAAGGCTAATGTCGGAGGTGGAGGGAGATACAAGTGGATCTTTGTTCTGAAGGGGGAAAAGGTGGGAGGGTGGTGGCATTGAGGCGATTTTTGAAGTTCAAGGAACTAAGCTAGTTGAATCAGAATGATTGAAGGGAAAAGGCGTGAGGGAGCAAGACGGGAGTGTGGACGGGTCGATGCGTTGTTCCTCCCCTCTGTTTTGAATCTTTTTGGAACTGGGTGCTGCTGCGGGTACGGGTATCTCCTGCCCTACCCGATTGTTCTCCTGCGCTGGTCGTTGGGTTGAAGAGTGATGGCCAAATTCCAATTTTCAAATTTCAAATAGTTTGCAGTCAGCCCAAAACACAGAGGGAGGACGTCGTTTTGGGGGAAATGTTTTGGAGTGCAGTATGGGGTTTTCAGAATGGAGTGGGACTGGGTCGTTTTATTTGGAGGCTGGTGATATGTAACCCAACCCATTTACCCGAACCAGTCCAGAAGGAAGCTCCAGACGAAAAAGAAAGAGAGGAAGAGGGGGCGGAAGGAAAAAAACAGCAGGAGGAGATGATGGAGGACTCAGAGCTCTGTCGTGTCTCGAGGAAGTGTTTTGAAGAGAATGTGGACGATTTTGACAATGGGATCCGGAAATCTGGCTTTGAAGGAGGGGGAGACACAGTGCTAGAAGGTAAAGAGATTGGAGATGTCGAGCAGGGTGAGGAATCTGTGCATGACGGAGAATTGTCCAGCTTGGTGGTCGCAGAAGGACTACAGGAGGTCTATGTGGCCGATGGTGGACAAGATTTTGCTCTGATGTTGGTTTAGGAGAGGTACAATGATTGTATTAATGACTTTGAGGATAATGTGAGTGTGGGCTGTAGGGAGCTTGATAGTTTGAGTAGTGATAATGATGCAAATGGGTCAATGTGGGTGATGCTAAATATCCAAAAAATTAGCAAGATGGTAGGGGTTTCTTTTTTGGGTTTGGAGGATAAATTTATAGAACTTTTTATTGAAATTGAAAGAAGGAAAATGGATAAGGGTAGGGTGGTTTCGGCTGTGAAAAAGGCAAAAAAGAGAGCAGGGGAGGGGAGAACCAGGGAGTTGAGAAGGTTGCAGTTTGCTGTGAGCTATGATAGCAAAAAGAAAAGCAGCAGGGGTGAGGGGGAAATTGGAAAGAAAAAATGATGAGTAGAAAAATTATTTAATGGAATGTTAGGGGAATAAATGATAAAAGGAAAAGAAAGGTTATTAGGGGAAGCTTGGGTTGTCAGAAACTGGATGTATGCTGCCTCCAAGAAACAAAAATGGTGGAGATCAATATAAATGTTATTCGGAGCTTGTGGGAAGATGAAGGAGGTTGGGTGGCATTGTATCCTGGAAACTAGGGCGGCGGGAGGTATTGTGGTGATGTGGAGAGAGGACCGCTTTATGTGTAAAGATATGGTTAAGGGTGACTTCTCTATGTCATGTTTGTTTGAATGTTGGTGGTGGTTTCCAACTGGTGTTTACCGGAATTTATTGTAGGGGTACAAGGATTGGAGGGAGGGGAGGGTTATGGAGGGAG